CACAGGTTTCCCAGAGATGCGTGCTTGCTTTCTCTTCAGAGACTGTTAACACTTGTACTCACTACAGCGATAAGGTAACCGCACAGCACTTCCTAGGAAAGCCGATTTTATTAAGTTAAAAAGCATTACCGAGAAAACATATTAAAAACGTTAAAAGAATGTGCATGCATGCTAATAAGCTTACCAGAATTAACCCCAACCCTAAAAGACTGGCAGGAGCTAGGATAACCATATTTCCCAAAGGGAAAATGGGATATCGCACAGTGCTGGTCCGATGGCACCCTCCCACCCCACATGTAGCTGGTCCGAGCTCTGCTTCCCGTGGGCCCCCCCCCGGCCCTACTGACACACACACACACACACACACACACCCCTAAGGCTGGGGCTGGCATCGTTGCTTACCTGAGCCCTGCCTCTCCCCCTGCATGGGGCTGACATGGCTGCTCATCCCCCTCCTGCATATTCCACCACACCACACTCCACTTTTGTGTTAAAATAAAATACACAAAAAAAAAGTGGGCATTTGTCCCATTTGCTCTTGCCAACTGATCAAGTCAGCAAGAGCAAACAGGACAAAAACCCACTTCTGCCAAAAAAGTGGCGACAGCCCAGGACAGGGCTTAAAAAAGGAACTGTCCACGGCAAAAGGGCCAATATGGTCACCCTAGCAGGAGCTAGTCCTTCAACTCCCCTATCTAATGGGATTCCTTGCAGTTACCACTTCATCACAGATTCAGCTGAAAACAAGCACTCAATCTCCTGAGTATCAGTAGGCCCAGTCCTCCAAACCTACCCTAAGCACTGTGGTCTTTTGTGGATAAGAGGTCCTGTCTGATCAGGAAGAAGGCCATGAACAAGTTTAAATCCAGGCTATTTATCCAAAAACGCTTTCGGTGTCTGTTGGTCCCTGGATAATCCAGTTTGAACTAGTATATGCATACCTTTCAGGAAGTGTGGGGCAGATGTAGAGGGCTCTTCTCTGAAGATATTACCACATCTCCCCTTAATCTCCCCCTGCTGTTCTTTTTATCTTTCCATGGAAATACATACAATTGCACTACAACACAGACCATTGCATTTTTAATAATTCAACATAGTTAATTCAGGATACTGCAGGAAGTTGTCAGTCTGCCACAACTGTTTCTCTGGATAGAGTTCCCCCATCTTATAAGTATGGCCTACATTCTTTGTTCCTGGATGTATATATTTAGATGTAGTAGTATTAAAACACATATGGTTTTGTTGTACCCAGTTTACCAAGTAATCGAAATTGCTCTGTATCGGTGACCTGTCCTCTTCATTGCTTACCATTCCCCCAATTTTTGTGTCATCTGCAAACTTCATCAGTAATTATTTTGTTTTCTTCCAGGTTATTAATAAAAATGTGAAATAGCAGAGGGCCAATAACCAAACCCTGTGGCATTCCACTAAAAACACCCATTCTATGATGATTTCCCATTTACAATTAAATTTTGAGGCCTACCAGTTAGCCAATTTTTAATCCATTTAATGTGTGCCATATTAATTTTATCTCTTTCGAGGGTTTTTTTAAATCAAAATGAGATGCAGTATCAAGTTAAATACCTTACAGAAGCATGACTATATTTGTCATTACTAGGCCAAACTATACAGAATATTTGTTTTCCCAAAAGAAAAGGCATATGGGTACATGACTGTCTAAATAGCATCCACATTAAACATATTTTATAAAACAGAATCTAGTGTCTGCTTAAAAAGAGATATACTATACTTGGGCCACAAAGAATCATATTTTTAGAGTAGCATCTATAAAAAGCATCATGAGTGTAGCAACATAATGCCGGAAATGTTAAGGAAACAAAAAAGCAACACTAACAATAATTTAAAGTGGGTCTGTTTGGGGAAAGTAGGGGGGAGAAGAGGGTGCTCACTGACAAGCTGATAGTTTTCTATTATTCTTATAACTATTATTTAAGAACATGAGTATATGAATGCAAATTGAGCCTTAAAAGTGTTTTTATTGTTTTGATTCAATGTAAGTAACTATGGACTATTGAAATTGAAGGAGGAATGATGCTTCTACAAAAAAAATCAACCGAAGGTCAAGATGAATCATCTACATAGCACTTACAAACATCTCCTCTGACCCCAACATCAAGTCATATGTTTGGTTCAAAGGTTATGTTTTGCTTACTTAGCAAAATAATTTATACTTTTTAATTTTACACACTAACTTCACTTAAGGTGAGCTTCCCTTAAAGTTCCCAGTTTTTGATACCGCCTGAAAATTTTAGGGAGTTTCTTTTGGCAAATAAAAAGGCACAAAACATTGCTGTCACTTACTGATTTCCTCTCCAGTTAGAAGTCTGCAGCAATGGCCTCTTTATGAAACTGATTATGAGCAGCATGAAGCAGCCAGTGGGGAAACCTGGAGCTGTATGAATCTCTTTTAATATATAGTATTTGTGAATAACTCTTTTGCTGGTAGGATTTTAATCAGTAAATCAAATTTAAACCCAAAGCTTGAAAAACTGATAATCTTTATTCGTTTTGGGTAACATTCTTCACTTCAGAACTCAAACTGGAAAATATTATAAGCAACTATTAGTATGAATTCTGACGATGTACCTTAAAATATCACCAAGAGATATCACAAAAATCAACAGAACAAGTTTCAACCTCAAAGCAGCTCACTGCTATTATAGGAACTACTCAGTAAATCCTTTTAGATATAAAGCCCCTTGGATATAAGAGCATGCTAAATATGAATTTGGTACTAATCATTCACCCAAAATTGTTAAAATCTGTGCTAATTTAAAATAAATACAATCTGAGGTGATATGGTTTTACTGCTGAAATACTGCACATAACGTATTACATATACACATCACTTATTGACCATTACTCACAGTAGTCCATTTACTCCAAACAAAATACCACCAAATAGTTCATGTTCAAACTAAGATTTTTATTTTACACGTATTATTTAGTCTGCAAGTTCTTGTCCTGTCACATTAACATGAACACGTCCCACAAATACTGCACTGCACCTTCCCCACCCAGGAACTTACATTTCAATGAGATAAAAGGATATGCAAATCAGAAGCTTAAAATGTCTGTTTGCCTTCATGACCAATAAAAATCAGATGCTTCAGGTGTCAAAAGGCAGCGTCACTTTCCTTTATACCATTTTCCCTCACACACAAGAAGATGTGACAAAATTTAACTATATATTGTTTAGAGGAATTAGCCTCTATCCCAGGGGCCTCAAACATGTGGCCTGTAGAGTTATTTGCTGTGGCTCACCAAGCTCCCCGCGCCGCCCTCCCCCCCCCCCAGAGTTATTTCTTGGAGCGCCAAGGTCCCCTCACTCACTGCCCCCCAGCGCTCGCCACATCCCCGCTCCTCTGCCTACCTCGAGGCACGTCCCACTGCCAAACAGCTGTTTTGTGGCACTTAGTGCTTTTCTAGGAGGGAGGGGGAAGGAGCGGGGAGCCACACGCTCAGGGGAGGAGGCAGAGAAGAGGCGGGGATTTGGGGACGGGGTTGGAATATGGGGCAGGGAAGGGGTGGGAAGAGGCGGGGCCTTATGGAAGAGGTGGAGTGGAGGCGGAGTGGAGGCAGGGCAGCGGCGGGGGGGGGGGGGAAGACACCTTTATATGAAAAGGTGTCAGTGATGCAGCCCTCGGGCCAACATACTAGACCTCATACAGCCCTCGTGGTGATTTGAGTCTGAGATCCCTGATCTATCCCTTCTTTGCAGGTAGGTGTACTTAAATGACAGAATAGAATATGAACAGGGACTATGGAGAGGGATCATGCCTTATAAATGTTTGTACACTAAGCACATTGCTGGCATTCAGATAATCAATAATCCTTTAAAGAAAGGAAACTTACAAACATATGAAACCTATATCACTTAAAGCATTTGATAAACTATGCCAGACATCAGATTGCACTCCCAGCCTCCTGATGCAGCAGTCATATCTTTTCTGTGTTTTATACAAACACCAAGCACATTAATGACACTCAGGGCTTGCCTGCACTTAAAACTCTACAGCAGCATGGCACCACAGTAGCACTTCACCATAGACACTACCTACACATCAGCATAGGTAATCCACCTTTCTGCAAGGTGGCAGTTAGGTGATGGAAGAATTCTTCCGTTGACCTAGCACTGTCTACATGGGATTTAGAGTGGTTTAACTATCCTGCTTAGGGATATGGATTTTTCACATCCTGAGCAACGTAGTTACACTGACCCAATTTTCTAGTGTAGACCGGACACCAGATACTTTGGATTTACATTATACTTTACGTGCTATAAAAAACATTACCTTAAGCGTCAAAAACACACTTGTAAGGAAGGCAAAACTCCCCAAATTGTCACGGGGAAACTGAGGCAGAGAAGTTACAGGAAGTGCCTACAGCCATACACCAAGGCAACAGCAGAGCAGGATTGGAACCCAGGAATTCCTGCTTCTCAGCCCATTACCACAATCAGCCTCGATGTCCAATTAATAAATACAAACGTAATTAAGGCAAAACGTATACTAAGCACACAGTGCACCAGGGATCCAACACACGGTGCTTAACAGAGATGGGGTCCTATTGAAGCTGAAGGCCAATCGTGTGGGGCTGGGGGAGGCACTTCGATCTCTGGACAGACTAGGCTGAGGGATCTCGGCCTCTTGAATGACTAACGTCCAAAGCAGGGGCGACTGCTCTTCATAGCAACACAACACCCCAGCCCAGAGCGGGGCCGGCCCAGCGGCTCCTCAGTCCCCCAGCCGGAAGGGATTAATCGCCGTTACTGGTTACCGAGGTGATTAACGATGGTGACGGGCTGAGGGGGCCCAGCTCCTGTGCCGGGCAGCGCAAGCGGACGGGAGCCGCTGTCTGGGATGGGCTCTCAGCCCAGTCCGGGGCTGGGGGGGTGTGAAGGGGGCCAGGCCCCGGGGAGACCCGCACAGCGGGAGCTGGGGAGGGGGCTGCTCCTCCCGGCCTCGGTGGGCTCTTACCTCTGCTAACATTATTGCCCCGCTGCGGACTCCCCCGGCTCTAGCCCCGCTGCATGGTGCCCGCAGCAGCCCGGGAAAGACTCCCCCGCTCCGCTGCGCGGCGGGCGCTGCCGGCTCCCTGCCGCCCTCCTCAGCGGCCGTTTGCTGCCCTCAGCCTCGCCGCTGCCTCCGCAGCTCGGTCCGGAGCGGCCGCCATCTTGGGAGGGCTACGTGAGCCGCCGCCGCCGCCGGCGCGCCCGCCCATTGGGGCCGCAGGATGCGGAGACAGGGAGCCGCCCCCACCTGGCCTATCTCCGTCCCGGGCCTGGCTCTGCGCTCCCCACCTGGGCATGGGCGCGACGTGACTAGAGCAGCAGCCACCATAGGGGTCGCTCCCGTGCGGGGCAGCCTGGGCTAGTCAGTCAGGGCAATGGCCAGTGGCTCTGAGGCAGCAGCAGTAGCCGGGGAACTTAGGACCCAGCTTGGAGTCAGGGCCTGCGCTGGGAAATGCACCTCAGTGAGCAGCGCCGTGTTCGCCCCAGCCCAGCCCAGGGGTTGATTACAAACAACTTGGTGGATGATGATGGTATGGGGGGGGGGGGGTGGTCTTGAAATGTCCCACGTGTCAGCAGCTGGTTGGGGGCGGGAATGGTTTGATTGGGGGCTTGCTCTCGCTCCAGATAGTGGGTCTTTGTTTTACTAGCTGGCTCCTTTTGGGTTTGGTCCTGTTCCTGCCGAATTTCGCTTGCTCGCTTAGCTCACTGCTGTCTACAGGTGCAGCTGGATCTGAGAAAAGCCTAGGTCAGGACAACAGATCTCCTATGGGGTTAACTGCTCTCTGGCATCAGTTTTTAGGGCAGCAAGTATTTTCTTAGATGATCAGCACACGTCGGGAAGCGGGGAGTAAATTGTGTAAAACTTTTGCAGATTTTGCTGCACTATTAGGAAAGCAGAAATATAAATGTATAAAAGTATTGATATCTTGCTCTTGCAAAAAAATACACACATGCTTAACTTGGCCCATGTTAACAGTCCCACGGAAGTCTGTAGGAATGATCCCCAGTTCCGTGCATCAGTCTTTGCAGGATCAGGATCTTAAATTTCAAACAAAGATAGCATGTCCCTGCTTCCAGGGGAATCTGTCTAGACAGTTCAGTATTCGTCCAGTTTTATATGATCTAAAATTAAATTATTAAAACATTCAGTTTGTACTGAAAGCAAAACTCCATGGTCCCTGGCAGATCTCAGGTCTATGAAATTAGGCATGGGTAAATAAAGTGTAGGGGGAAGTGGATAAAGGCTTATTGCATCACAGGTCTCATATGAGGTGCATGAAGGGAGAAGTAGTAGTAGAAGTTAGTTGGAAGGGAAAGCCTGGAACCAGAAATGGAAGAGCTCAGGGGACTTTATATTTGGTCTAGTTTGGACTTGGGAAGGGGAGGAGACCTGTTTTCTTTATAGTAGAGGGGTGAGTGGGTAACGGAGAACTCCCCTAGGGCTACTGAGTACTAGAAGTTTGTTAACCTATCTGCTGCTTACATTAAGGTTTACTAATAGGGTGTTGTCAACTCTTGCAAGTTTTATCATGAATCTTACGATAATTATTTTTGTCCTAAAGCCCCAGTTCCTGGAATCGTGTGAATTTCAGCTTTCATTAAAAAAAAAAAATCTAGTCCTCACGGCTGCAGAGAAAAGCTTGAAAAGGTGAACCCTAAAAGTTAAAAACTGGAATGCAAATTAAAAACCCAAAATGTTTTATTGATTTTTTTAATCATTATTGAAGCCACATTTCATGATTTTTGAATGCTTGGGCTTGGCAAATACTGTTAATACCTTCTCTGAGTGGATACCTAAGAGAAGCCCAAAACATTAGTAAACAAGATGGTTGTTAACAGTAACATAGGATGTAATAGTCTACTTTATAGCTATTACAACAAATTTGTAAAAGTAATTGTTCAAAAATATTCTGCCATGAAAGCTGTAAACTAACAATAGGTATTCCACTGCATCAGGCATTTGGATTTTCTTTACATATTATAAAAAAAGGACATAAAAGAATTATTATAGCGTAATTTTCTTTCACACAAAGGACATTTGTTTGGCAGAGCTAAAAAAATTATTCATTGCAGTAAGTCTGCATTCACAACATTCAAGTCTTCATCACATATCTAATTGCATTCAGCCAATTATCTGCACCATGCTTAGAGACAGTTCTGAAGGGAGCAATAGTATACCAGAGTGCTTGGTAAACCATCAGTTGTGTAATTATGCAAAAACGAGTGTGAGCACATAGTCACATAGCTATTTTTATATTGGTTGTACCCAAATTAGTTAATATCCACAGGCTGCCGTGAGTGTGTTCTCTATGGGTGAGGTATAGTACTATCCAAATGATAAGATAAATTACTGTTTATAAAATTTCAGGAGAAACCCTGTGAGAAACAGGAAGTGCACCTGTAGGGATTAGGTGAACATATATAGAGACAGGTTCATTGTGTTTTGCTGTAATTGAATCATAGATGGTGTTCTAGTAAAATGGATACTTTGTGATTAGAATCAATTCTCTCCTCTTTCTGCATCTTGAGCACCATTAAGAGCACAGAGTGGGATTTTCAAAAAAACCCTAAATGAATTAGGAGCATAAATCCCACTGAAGAAGAGAAAACACTTTTGAGAACCCCACCCTAAATTTCTTAAGTGTGCTAGGTGCAGAAAGAAGGTACACTTTGTTCTTATAAAACAAAACATACATTTGAAAGTCAACAGAACTTGTGCTTCTAACTCATTTAAGCACTTTTGAAAATCCCAACTGTCAATGTTACAAGAGTAGAATATTAGGCTGGGCAATTGTACATGTTACTGTATCAAATGTCCCAAATTCTGGAACAGTATCCTTAGCCTCAAACTTTTTTGTTGGAGGGAGCGGGGGGAAGGAGCAAAAACAGCCCTTACCTTATGGTAAGATTTTTTTTCTCCCCTCTTCAGTGTGTATATATGGTATGTTATGCACACACACAGGAAAATGTACTTCTGAGATTGTCAGTGACATAATAATCTTGGTTTAGTTGAACAAACAAACTCAATCTTCCACTCCTCTTCCTTCTCATAGTACAAGTAGCACTTCCTGACTGAGCTCAGTGCAGATGGATGGGAAGCTTGAATTGGCCTCAACACAACATGTATCATTTTCAAATTGTTGAACCCAAGTTCAGTTATATAAATATTTGGTGTTTTTTTCTTGTCATTAAAAACAAATCCTAATTAATACTTTATGCCTGACTTCTTCAAACTTCTGCCTGACAACTGGCAATGCCAGACAACGTGCTGTGCAGGGAACCACCTAGCATTCTTGTACTGGTGCAATGAAGCTACTGAATAGTATTTCACTACTGTTCTTTATCCCTATATCTCAGAAGGATCCCATGGATGTGAAACATCAATATTGATGTGAAAATGATTAGCTATGAAAGTTATAATATTGTATTCTAACTTTAGGTTATTAGTAGTTTGACTTCAGAAGGGAAGAATAATGTGGCTGCAAACAGCAGGAAGGAGGCTGCAAGGGAGGGCAGGACCGCAAAGGTATTTACACAGTGGAACAGGAGACAGCCTAGCAGAGGAGTTATTAACATGGAGCAGCAGTGGGAGAGTGTGGTGGGGAAGAGAAATGAAGGTCTGGGGGGGGGAGTAGAAATTGAGGGATTAGGAGAGGAAGGCCTGCTGAGATTAGAATTGAAATGTAAGGAAGCGAGAGAACTTCATTTGCATGGGTCATTGGTAGATTATGAGGAGTTGTGTAGTGAGGTTCTGGAATGCAGAAATTTACATTTGCACATCTTATGCACATTTTTTCCAGCTTTTTCCTGTGGCAGTATAAGCCAGTCTGGAAACAAGGCCATTCACACTAGATAAAAGGATGACAATATGGATGGTCCCTTCAACAAAATCACCAAAGATGAGATCAAGCCCTGTCCCGTAAAACCCAAGGACCAAACACTTATTTGCTCTTCAACAGGGACCAACTTCAAGGGACAATCCTGATACTAGGCTTGAATCATTCACAAAAGTGCCAAGATAACCTATGAAGCTGTCCTCGGACAACTACACAGTGTCTTTGATATGGAGTATGATGTATAGTTTTAACTGTAACGAACTGAATAAAACTTTACATAAAAGGTTGGGCACCCTATTCTTTCTTGCAGATTCTAGTAAATGTCATCAAGTGCTTATTGGGAAACCTACAGTCAGAGCCAATAAGGCTTTTCATGTGAAGACCCTAAAGCTCTCCAACTCATGGTACACTTTGCATATCACCAAAAGGGTTTGGTGTACCACACCAGCTCATCCACAGCTTTCCCTGACCCAAGCTTGCCTGAAGGACAATCCCTGATTTTTTTGAACTTCTGCAGCACTGAGATTCTGCAAAGCAATATTTAATGTATTCCTTGGTGAACTTTGCTTTTAAGCCTGCAGCCTACACACAGACAACCAGGGGATGGAGCCAAAGAGAGAATGTGAGAGTCCTGCAGTTCTGTTCCTTTAGGTCTGCTGTGCACCCAGGATGCAATGTGAAATTTATTAGTGATTCTAGTAAATTATAGTTTGTGAAAACTGCCCCCTCAACAAAGTTCAGGTATGGGCAGAAGGACACAAAAAAGACCAAAGGAAGGAAGGAAGATGATAGAAGAACAGGGGGGAGTGTAAAGAAAGAGATCAAATAGAAAAGATGCAGCAGTAGAGGGAAGAGACGCTGCTCTGACCTGAAAATGAGATAATAGAGGGGAAAGTATTAATTTTTCAGAGACTAAAAGGAGGACAGTGGTGGTTGCAAAGCTGTCAACCCACCTGGAAGGCAAAAAACAACAAACTCAGCGAATCACTGATCATCTGCATTTGGAGAGAGCATATACTCCAGCTCCATCCCAGAAGGTCCAAAATACAGGAGAGAAGACCAAGGGGAAGGGGAAAGATCTGAACAGTGAGGAGGCAGGAGAAGAAAAACACTAAAAGCAAGAGGTGGAGAAGGCAAGATCAAAGAAAAGGGTCTACAAAAGAAAAGTGGAGAACAGGAAAAGAGGAGGAGACAAAGTTTGTTCTATACAGCTCTTTGCTTTAATAGTTATTAGGCTTTTTCTAATTAGAACAAAAATCAGCAAAAACAAAATCTGAAATTTCCCACTTTTCTTGGTAGGAGAACCTCTCTCTACTTCTACATATTATTGATCAGCCTCACTCTTTATTTTGACAGATTGTGTAGT